CTGAGGGTGTACCTCAGCAGAGAGATGCTGGCAAGGACCTGCCCAAGCCCTGAGAAACCACAGCTGACAGTGAGCGCCGTTCGAGAGCTCTGTGCTGGAAGTGCAGTGAGGACAGGGGGATTGGCATCCTTAATTCAGTCGCCAGTGAGCACATGCCTTGCGGACTTTGAGCAATACATGCAGAGGATTGCTAGGAGCTGGAGTTCGTGCAGGTGCATGCAGGGTGGAAAGCTAGCCAGATCCCACCATCGGGGCTCATCCTGCGTTCACTGGCTGGGGATGTTTCATGTGTTCGCATTCTTTCCACCCCGGCTCTGGGTAGCCCACGCCTGGAAGACATCCTGACCCACCTGGCCGAGTTCATCACCTTTCTCTCTGTGATGTAATCACCACTGTGAAGGGCAGTGGTCTTGTCTATTTCTCTGAGCCGTGCACCAAAACACATCCCTTTCTGTCCAGTTTAAAGGCTGCGGCATGCGTATCAAGTCACCCAGATAAGACATGAGGGGCCAGGATGGTCGTGGGGGGTGTTTGGTATTGTGACCTTGGCCCCTGGACCCAGCTCTGGCCCACCGAAGACAGGTGATCTTAATGAAGATCCAAGATATTTCTTGCTTTTTTGAGAATTCATGCTCAGAGCACATGGTTTTCCTTTTCTTCTTTCTTTCTGCTTCTGTTTACACTAGGACACTGCTCTTAGTGATGTTCCTATTTCGCGTGTCTTGCCGCTTTGCTTAGTAACGATCATTTTTTGTCTTAGCCCCTTAAATAAAGGGACTGGGAGGAAGTAAGGGCTCTACGGGGGTGCCAAAACAATAATGCTAGCTGCGGAAATAAACTTAACAATTTCAGTGGCTTAATAACCCCATAACAGTTTATTCCTTGTTTACTTAAAGCCAAAATGAGTATTCCTATTGGGTGGGTGGCCTTTCCTCATGATCATGGTCATTCAAGGAGCCAGGCTCCTTTTACTGTGTTCCATTTCTCTTGGAATCCTATGCTTTCAGCTGGCTGGTGGATGGGAAAGACAATGGAGCAGTGATTCTCACACCTTAATGTGCATACAAATCACCTGGGGATCTTGGAAAAAAAAATGCAGATTTGGATGTAGTAGGCCTGGAGTGGGGCCTGAGATACTGCATTTCTTACCAACTCCCAGGTGATGCTGATGCTCCTGGTTCAAAGACAATCCTTTGAGAGACAAAACAATGGAAGATGGAGCAACGGGGGGTAGGAGTGAGGAGAGAGAGGTAGCTTTTATGAACCAAGCCTGGAAGTGGCTAGAACTTTCAGGCAAGAACCCAGTTGCATGACCCCACCACCCTCTAAGAGGAGGCTGGGGAATGTAATCCAGCGATGTGCCTGGAACAAAGGGGACAGGTCTCTTCATTCACCAGCAATTTCTCCAAATGGAGGGCCAAGCACTTTCACCAGCTCTGTCTTCAGGGAGATGGAGCATCCTCTTCAACAGTCATTGGGGCAGCAAGATAAAGAGTAGCCAAACTTACGTGAGTGGATATAGGTTATGTGGCTCTGCCTCCTCCGTGAGCTTGCCTCACAACTGGAGCTGGGATGAAAAGAAGTAGGAGCCTGAGCTGGTGGGAGGCAAAGCCTCCTGACTCTGCTGCGGATTCTGTGCTGCCTGGTGTGGATTGCCAGGCAGACAGGAACTGAAATGTCCATGGGGGCACCATGAGCTTCTGAGTGGAGAGAGCCAGGCGCTGCTCGCTTCTCAGGCTGCCTTCTCTACCCGTAGTTGTACCACACCTCTGTGGCAGGGCCAGTCACCCAAGATTCGTGGGGCTTGTGGGACATCACTCACCTATTCCTGGGTAACCTTCTGGAACCCTGTGGGATGTAGACCAACAGATAGAGGCATGGATGCTAGCTCAGTCTTCTTTCTGTACTCCATTTCCCCCATGCAGTATTTCCTTCCTCGCTGCCTCATGGGGGAGGTTGTGATAATTACAGATAATATATCTGACAAGGCACGTCTCTCCACTTACCCTGTGTTACTGCCAGGCCATAAGAAAGGAGACTTGACTCTCTTGGAAACACGGAAGGTGGGGGGCGGGGAGCTGCTTTCAGTGGCTCTTATCCTAGGAGGTGGAGAGTTTTCTGATGGGTGGGATGGCGAAAGTCTGGGAGCCTAGGTTCCTGTTTCTCTTAGTCCCCTTGCTTCTTGTGGGCTCGTTTTGGGGATGGGCCTACCCAGTGGTCCTGTGTGGTCATCCCTGGAGGATAGCCCTGGCCCTAGGGACCTGCGTGGAGTCAGAAGGAAGGAGTCCATGACCATATAGCTGCTGTGTGTGCTGGTGCAGAGAAGAGAAGGCAGGAAGCCTAATTTGGCCTGAAGTCCAAGATACTTTCTCTAATCCAGTTTTGTGAATGATGAAGTAGAGGGTTTTGAATTTTCTCTCTCTCTCGTGTATCTATATTTTTTAAGATTTTATTTATTTATTATTTTGAAAGAGAGGGTGGGGGAGACTGGGAGAGAGACTCTGAAGCAGATTACACACTGAGCACGGAGCCCGACTCAGGACTTGATCCCACAACTGAGACATCATGACCTGAGCCGAGATCAGGAGCCGGACGCTTAACTGACTGAGCCACCCAGGCGCCCCACTCCTGTGTCTATCTTTAAATTCATTCAGAACCCAGGGAGGATGGGCTATGGATGTCTGGTACCCTCTAGAACCCCAACGAGCAACAGATTGCCCAACACTTACTAGGTGGCAGCTTTAGTCTTCTGGGTATTAGGGTGAATAAATGAGGCTACTTTCTGAAGTGGCTCATCTCAACTGAGGATAAGCAGGCTTAAGGTTTCATTCCAAATGGAAGATTTTAGTGGTTAAAATAAGATTTCTAGGCAATAGTTTTTTTCTAGGTGGGAATATTCATGCCAGGATCCCCTGAGTTTATCTACTGTGTTTTATGATGCAATTTATTTCCTAGCATCATAGGGCTTTAAGTCACAGAGTTCAGCCCTCACGGTTGATTGTGGAATTTCCTTAGACATCTCTTCCATTGTCCAGGCTCTGTTTAGCCATCTGTTGCGGCAGGGAACTAACTCGCTGTGTCTCCAGGCCATTGTTAGAAGGCTCCTTGAATGGAAATATGCCTCCCGTGGTTTCTTTCCCAGCTCTGCCTCTCAGGCACCTTTATCAATTAGCAATTGCCACAGTGATGCTGCCCAGCAAATGGAGAGGGGACTCAGTGGCAAACAGCAGGGAGCATTTATTCTCCTACTTGTGGGTCTGAGCGTTGACTGTGGACTGGCAGATCGGAGCTGGGCTTGTTGACTGCATGGCTGTGCTCCGAGCTGCATGGTGGGGATGGCTTGGTTCTTTCTTACTGGCTGAGCTCCGTTCTCCACCACGCACGTCTCTTCTTGATCCTAAGCTGAAAGGGGCAGCAGCTCCCTGGGGCATATTCTCCTCATGAAAGGTGGTGGGAGTGCAAGGGGGCAAGCCCAGCTAGGCATGCATGTTTCAAACCTCTGCTTGATTTGTTCTGTTGACGTCCTATTGACCAAAGCAGTCCAAATTCAAGGGTTGGGGACACGCCCTCTGCCTCTTCTGGGAGGCCCAGGACATGGATCCAGAGAGGGTTGAAGAACTAGAAATAACCATTTAATCTGTCAAAGCAACTCCAAAGAGGCTCCCTTCCTTTCTGTGGGTAGGCAACCTGCTTAATGCTTGAAAAACAGTGGTCACGTTCACTGTAGAGCAATAGTGTAAACACTGAGTTGGAGAGAATCTGGCTTTCCTCCATCCCTTCCTGGCTGAGTGGCCCAGGGCAAGTCATTCAATCTTTAAATACAGTGAAAATCCTCTGCCTCCCAGGGTCATTCTGAAGATTAAGTTGGAGAGTATATTAAAAAGACACCTAGCATCACACTGGTACTCCTTAAGTGCTTAGTAAGTATTACCCTCCGTTCCAGGCCGAACACCTTCTAGTTGTTTCTCACATTTCCTCAGTCTTCCTTGCTTATTTGGATCCATTCTACTTCTTTCTTTCTTTTTTTTTTTTAAGATTTTATTTATTCATTTGAGACACAGAGATAGAGAGCATGAGCAGTGGGAGAGGCAGAGGGAGAGGGAGAAGAGGACTCCCGGCTGAGCCAGGACCCCGATGTGGGGCTCGATCCCAGGACCCCGGGATCATGACCTGAGCCGAAGGCAGACGCTTAACCATCTGAGCCACCCAGGCGCCCCTCCATTCTACTTCTTATATGTCCTCCTGTGATACAGAGAGTCCTTCCCTGTGCTGACTGCAATATTAATGGATAGTTTGCATTTACTCCTTGGCCTGAATGCAAGGGTCTTTGTGGAATGTGTTGGAATGACAGGTCCTGTATTGTAGAGGTTCTGCTTCCATTGAGATAGCCCGAGCTTACATGAGGTTGTATGTCACATTTCACCCTTGGAGGTTGCAGTTAGCTGTATTCCTGGGGTTTTGTTCTATGTTTCTTTAGGACCTCCTGGATAGAATGCTTCTTCTGTAAATGTTTATAGACTGCCTACTTTGTAGAAATATTAGTATATGTTACTGCCTCTTAATTTTTATTTTTTTAAAGATTTTACTTATTTTAGAGAGAGAGGGGGAAAAAAAAAAAAAACAACCATGAGTCGGGGAGGGGCAGAGGTAGAGAGAGAATCCCAAGCAGACTCCGTGCTGAGCATGGAGCCTGATGCGGTGCTCGATTCCAGGACCTCATATAGATGATGACCTGAGCTGAGATCAAGAGTTGAACGCTTAACCGACTAAGCCGCCCAGGCGCCCCTATCTCTTACTTTTTAAACTGCCTTATGGAACAGGTTTTAAAATGCCCAGTTACAGAAGAGAGAGAGGGGATGTGGCTTCCTCAGGATTGATCAGGCCCTCCTAGAGTGTCCTGATTTCCGGCCCCCACGTTGACGGGTATGACTGATTATCAGAAGGATTTTCTTTCTCTTTCTTTGTCTCTACTTCCCGTCCCCTTTGTGGGTCTCCAGGATCCTTCATGATGGTGAACAGCTCTGGGAGGGCCTCTGGCCAGAAGGCCCACCTTCTCCTGCCGACCCTGAAGGAGAATGACACCCACTGTATCGATTTCCATTACTACTTCTCCAGCCGCGACAGGTCCAGCCCGGGAGCCTTGAATGTCTATGTGAAGGTGAACGGCGGTCCCCAGGGGAATCCTGTCTGGAACGTGTCTGGGGTCGTCACCGAGGGCTGGGTGAAAGCAGAGCTTGCTATCAGCACCTTCTGGCCACATTTCTACCAGGTATGGTGTTCTTTGGTTTGATTTTTTTTTTTTAAAGTGATCCTAAATCTATATACCTCTTGCCCTACCTAGAGTTTGTTAGTCAAGAAAGACCTTCATTTACTCACTCACTGTGCACCTCGTGTTTACTGAGCCTCTCCTGGGCAGGCCTGCAGGCACAGAGGTGGTCCAGCATGGCCCCTGCTTCCCTGGAGATCATGCTCAGGGAGGCTCAGGAAGACGAGACCCGTGATACACAAGCAGTTACTGTACAGTGGGACACAGCTGGCTCTCCAGAATGCTGGGGGAACAGAGGCATGGAAGCCTTTTATAAATTAATTGCTTACAATCACCTGATGAGCAATGTACTACTATTATTCCTATTTTACGGATGAAAAATGTGAGGTTCTGAGAGCTGGGATAACTAGTCAAAAGATCACCACCCCCTCAACCCCCCATCCCCCCATCCCCCGGGGAAGAGGGTATTTGGGGAAAAGCAACTAGGAAGGCTTCCAGGCAGAGGTGGCAGCTAGGCTAAGTCTTAAAGGATGAATAAGTCATTATTGAAAAAGCAAGGAAAAGGCATTTGATTTGTCAGGTATGGTGCGTGCCGGGGGCTGGAGGAGCAAGCGAGAGAGTTTTTGCAGAGTTTGGAAATTCTCACTTGTTTAAGGGTGGGTCACAAAGGAGATACGCAGTGGCTCAGCTTGCGGAGGTGAGTAGGTCATGGCTGGCTTTGAATGCCAGGCCAAGGAGATGAAGTGTGATCCCTCGTCTAGAGCAGTGCTCCTCAAGCTGGGGCTGTGAAAGACCAGTTTTTTCCTTTCAACTCATTGTGGACCAGTCCTTTCATGACTGTAGTAAAAATGTCTCAGCAATGCCACATTGTTGCAAGAGCTTCTAAACACGTCTCCCACTTCTCCCGCTGCCTCCCGCTGCCTTCTCTCCCTGTGGGCTGAGAACACACAGGGCACAGGCTGCTGGCCGTCTGAAGAGCAGAGTGCACCACCTGTTGGGGAGCACAGCTGTGGCCTGCTTGGCCTGGGACTCTTGAAAGCTTTTCTTTTTTTAAAACCACTTTATGTATTTAAGTACATGTCATAGAATTTACCCATTTAAGTGTGCAATCCAGTGATTTTTAGTAAATCTACAAAGTTATTCAGTCATCACCATCAACCAGTTTTAGAACATTTTCATCACCCCAATAAATCATTTCTGCCTGTTGTTGAAAGGTTTTAAGTAAGAAGGTGACATAGTCAGATCGGCATTTTAGAGACCTTTCTCTAGAGTCTGCTCTGAGCTTTGTGGTGAGAAAATGGACCTGAGGCTGACAAGGTTAGTGGCTGGGAACTTCTCAGACATCCTTCAGGTCAACGTCTATGGACTGTGTTCAACAGATGGACTGTGCAGGTAGCCATAGATATTATGTAAATGAGCGTAAGCATGCAGCTGTGCTCTAATGAAACTTGATGTATAAAAACAAGTGGTGGGCCAGATTTCACCTCTGGGCCATAGTTTGCTGAACTTTGATGTAAGTAGTAAAGCTGAGGTCTAGAGATGGATACTGAAGTCCAAGATCATATAGCAAATCATTGGAAAAGCTGGGACAAGAACCTGGATGCCTAATCCCAAGACTCCTCCCCCACCCCTCCACCCTGTATAACTGAGTATAAAGTAAGTGTGTCTGTAAGTCCATGGATACCCCCAGTGAAGCCATAGGGCTCCAATTAGAAAACCCCTATCTAGGGCCTGATGCAAATGGATTATAGGATAGGGCCACAGTTGCAAGTGTAATGAGGAGGAAAAGTGATCCAGGGCAGGGACTGTTGGCCTTGCTCTTTGTTGGGATATGGAGGGGAAAGAGGACATTTCTTGGGCTCCCCCTTTATCCCAGCTCTGTGGTAAGCATACTGCCTCTCATTTACCTGTAACTCTTTGTGTTGGAGAGCAACATGTCTTGTGTTCTAGAGTAGGGCATATTATTGGTAAACTGAGGTTCCCATAATCCTTCCTAGGTCCTCTGGCACCAAGCTCAGTTTCCTGCTTTTGGGAGAAAAAGCACATTATAAGAATCTTCTACTTACTAGCTGTGTAATGTTGGATGTATCCTGTCATCTATTCTGAATCAGTTCTCTCATTTATAAAATGGAGAAGGAAATAGGTACAATGAAGGGTTCTTCCGTGGATTGAATGAGATAGCATATATATTAAACAATGTGTCAGGCTCGTGGCGGGCCTCAGTGATTGTTGGAAGGGAGGAGGAAGGGGGGGAGGAACAGGAGAAGAGGAAGGAGGAAGGATGCCTTTCGTGAAGAAATCCCCACCGTGATTGAGCCGTCCTCTGTAAGTTCTGTATCATCCCTGTGATGAGCATTCTCATCTGGGAGAGTTTTCTGATTTCTAACTTGTTGACCACTACGGCATCATTATGTTACATTACATCCTCTGAGCTTCGTGGGGACAAAGCCACTAATGTACTGAAAGCAGCAGTTTAGAACAGAAACCTCTCTTTCTCTGTCCCTCTCTGTCTGTCTGTCTCTCTCACACACACACACATGTAGCCACTAATGCATAGTCCTGTGGTCACACACCCAGAGGGGCACACACAGGTGCACCTGCACGCTCCCAGAGTCACTACCCCCACACATACCAGGGGAGAGAAGGGGGTGCTGTCCAGAGAGTCAAAGACACTTGCGGTGTGGATTTGAAAATTCATCAGACCCTGAGCTCTGGTCCTGTATGTATGATTCTGTGGACTAAATACAGTTTTAGTTTTCAGCGGTGCTGGGACTCAGATCCTGATGGCTTATGTATTCATTTATTAAAGTCATATTTCATAGTTCCAAAATTGACTTTTAGCTCCATAATACACAGGGAAATTTCATCTTTCCTATTAGGGGGCTCTGTGACACCAGGGTCTCAGCAGGGCCAGGGATGAACGTCCCCCGGCCGTGTACCCCCACCCCTGCCTCCTCCCTGAAGAGCAGGGTCTTATTAAAACCGCCTGAGCTGTGCTTTAGATCTAGGCCCCCTTGCAGGTGATATTAAGTCTGTTTTATGTTTTTAATGATTCTGCACTGTTCTGTCCCAAGATTTAGAAAAAAATAAGAGAAGTTTTTTACTGGTTTGCAGCCACCTGCTTACTCAGTTTTCCAGCACCTGCCTGGGTGAAGTTGCCTTTTATTTGGTGCTTGTAATTGCTATGTAGACCCATGAAATCTAGGGCCTGCCAGGCTTGGATTCAACTGGAATTGAGATCCAGTCTCTTTCTCAGGGATCGGGCACTAGCATCTGGCACTCTGGAGGCTTAGTAACTTCACGTACAATTTAGGGGGGTGCATCTCACAGGGCGGGCACTTTCCCACCCTTCACGCTCTCCCCCATCTCCTCTCTTTCACCTCCCCTCTTTGCTGAGCAGCGAACTCTCCTCCTCATTTTATTCAGGCCTTCTGGGGCTGGGATGGGAGAGAGGCTCTCTTGATTTCTCCCTAAGCAATTCCTCTCCATGAAAATACGTGGTCGTCTTCCTAAGAGGGGTGCTGGTGAGCCAACATTTTTCTCTCTTTGGAGAAAATGTTTGCAGCCCCTTAAAACTTTTGCTGTACAGATTCTCTGCTCAAGGACTACAAAAGGTGAGGATAGAGTGCCCCCACTCCTTTAAAGCATGTCCTGACCTATCCATCCCTTCCCCCAACATGCACACAACCTGCTTTTTGGAGAGGTTGAGGGTGACTCATCTCTGGGCCTCTCCTGGGAAATAGTTCCTGACTTTGTCCAGCAGCTCATGCATGGGGAGAGGTTTGTGCTTTTCCATGTAAGCCTTAGGAGGTCTCTAAGGTTCCAGGGTCTGGGGCATGTGTAGTTGACCGTAGGTCCATGTAGTGGCCTTGGGATTGAAGAATGTCCTGCAGAGCAGGTGAGTTTCCCAGCCTAGGCCTTCTGCCCCATCCCTGCCTGTCAGAGTCCCTGCCCCCACACACTGACATGGAGCATCCCTGGGTGTTGGCATGGTCTACTTCTACCCACCCTCCGCCCTCTGTCCTCTCTGCCCTCCCTGCCACCTGTAAACAGCACTAAAGTAGCCTCTACAATTCTTTACCCACCTCAGTGCCAGCCTCGTTGAGAGAGTTCAGTGCTGAGGGGACCTGCCTCAGCAGGTGAGTTCAGATAGGCCTTAGAGGGTCCAGCATGGACCTTTTTCCTTTTCTTTCCCTTCTGGCTCTATTTCTGATACATCCAGTCTTGTTATCTGTGTTGACTCCTCACTCCCCAGCCATTGAGGGGGTCTATCTCATGGCAGCTTGCATGATTTTTATAAAAAAAAAATTGTAATTCTGGAGTGGCATGCCCGAGATAAGACCCTCTTGGCTCCTGTATGCTTTGTGAGCATTTTGCTCTGAGTGATCTGGCAGTGATGGGGAGGACTTGCCCCAGTTCTGTCTTGGGAAGTGCTGTATTCTCCGCTGTATCCCCAGCCTGCCCTGTGGTGTAAATATCCTGTGGACCCTAGTTCTAGGATCTGAGGAGTCTGGAGACTTCATCAGGGATTTCGTGGGCTGCCATGGTCTTTTTCTCTCTGCTTCTGTACTTAGTCCCCATCACCTTTCCCCAACTCCCTTGGTTCCTGCAACTCCATATGGCTCTTTATTTCCATGTAACTCCATGTGGACCCAAAGTCCAGCTTGTGCCAGTTTCTTACAGTGGGGACTCCTATCAAAGAGTCTGTTGAGTGCGGGAACTTCAGTGGAAGCTTGAGGTGGGACTGGAGGGAATAGTTATGTTGGGTGGTGCATTAGCTTCTTCCTCCCCCCAGACCTAGCACCGTTCCCTGGGATTCCTGCTCTTACTGCCCATCCCTCTCCCCAGACTAAGAACAACAATAATAGTAATATTTATCAATATATTACCATGTATATTGCAAACCCTTTAAAATTATTAACTCATTTAATGGAAAGCCAGAGCATTCTTTCCCTTGTTTCTTTTTCTTTTTTTTTTTTTTTTAAAGATTTTATTTATTTATT